AATAACTCGGATTGAGAATTTAAAACTCGACGTTTCGGCACCCATTTTGGAGCCATTATCAAGATTAATGTAATGTATTAAGTATGTTCGGGTTTCTACACCAGTGTCAAATAGAGAAATTTCACTGTAATATGGAAACAACTGCCACTCATCTACTATAACCTAAGAAATAGATTCTACCTTAGAGCTACAGCAATGTACACAACTGCAGGACAATGAACGTCAATGTCTTCAAACGCAAATTGAAAATTTAATTTATGAGAACCATTTTATAACCCCTCACACTGACATTTTGTTTGGGTGCTAGGAAAAAAACATTTATGACCAGTTTTGGTCGTAAAAAATGATAACTTTTTATATTGAGAAGAGGAGAATTGGCGGTAACATACTGTCAAAGCGTGTCTAGATACCAAAAGAAACAACCTGTTTTAGCGGGTGTCCCAACGGAAAGAGGATGAGACAAAAAACTCGATTTATTTGAGCTGAAATAATAAATAGAATATAATTTCGTGTTTTCTTAATAATTGTAACAAAAATTATGAGGGATTATTGGTAATATGCTAAGACTTTAACAGTGGCATTTATACTTTTATGGAATAAAAAATAAAAAATAAGTTTTATGGACATAAATATGTCTATCTCTAAAAGACATTTATTTTCAATTTATGGAATAAAAATAGCTAAAACTTGAAAATTATTCATATGTGTTTGTTACAGATAATATGAGAGACGAAAGCGGATACTTCGTCCAACGTGGTGGCTCCACAGATGATTCTTTCGACAAATTACTAAGGGATCTTCAAGATAGAATGCGCAAACGTAAAGCTTGACAATTATTTGTCGTCGCTAACTCGATCTTAGGCCAAATTTTGCATTTTAGTTTTCAGTTATCTTCCGAAAGGAGAATTTTTTTCATACGTAATGTATTTACTACTGTAAATTAACTTATTGCGTTAAATTTTGTTCATACAACCAGTCATGACAATTTATATGAACGAATTTGGAATATATTTAATTTCTTTGTTGTTGAAGACGGTAATACGGTTTACTTTCTTTTTATTACCCTTTATTATGTTTTCCCTACATTGGGCTGTGTATTTTGTATTCGAGATATTTTTGTTATAGCTGAATAAAAAAAGTTTTAACTGGAACGTTTCGTTTTATTTCTTTAATCCTAATATAAGAATACATAGGTAGATTTTTTATATATAGTCAAATAAAACTGCATAAAACATTGGAAAGATTTTAATATGCCAAGTACGATATAGGCAACACATATTACACAACAAAATACCAAGTAGTATTTTCACTTTAATGCTGTTAATGATCAGTTTTCGTAATAATTTCCGGATGCAGAAGACGAAGGAAAGCAACTGCATTGTATAAAAGCAAAAAGTTTGGACAGATATTATGTAAACATCATTATCATTTTTCTTCTTTTGGTGCCTATCCTCTGTGGATGTTGGCAATTACGTTGGTCCATACAACTTTGCTGACAGCTGCTCTGAATAGATTTATGGTAGTCATTCCTGCCCACTGTCTGATGTTCTTCGACCACGATTACCTTCTACTCCCTTGAGATATTTTGCCTTCTATCTTGATTTGTAAAATTAGTTGATACTTCTCATTGCGCATCACATATCTTAAGTAGATATGTCATCTTTGTGATTTTTACGATACACGTGATTTCCAGATCTTTATTCATACGTTGGATCACGGTGTTGTTTATAACATGGTGGATATATTAAATTCTGAGCATGCGGCGATAGCACCACATTTCGAAGGCTTCTAGTCATTTGGATGTTGCCTCCGTCAAGGTCCAGGCTTCGACTCCATATAAAACGGTAGAAAATACATAGCATCTTAAGACTAGTGTTCTTATATCAATGTTCAGGTGCATATTACATAAAATCTTCCTGAGGCGATTGAAGACAGTTCTCGCCTTTTCTATACATCTTATTTCCTGTGAGAGGTCCCATTCCTTATTTAGGCTGCATCCAAGATATGTAATTTTGTCGACTATTCTCAAGGGTTCATTATTAGCTGTAAATTGGTGCTGTATTACGTCGTTTTTACTTACTACAAGAATTTTGGTCTTCTTCAGTTTAATTTCATGCCGTATCTATCACAGGCTTCCACTACAGGGCCTATTAATGTTTGCAGATCCTCCGCATTATCAGCAACAACGTATCGTCCGCATATTTTAAATTGTTTATGATTTCACCATTGATTTTTATACCTTCTCTTAAACCATCAATAGCTTCCCTGAACAACAGCATTTCTGAGTAAGTATTGAACAACGTATTCCCCGTTTTCTTGTGAATTCTTGTGAGGTTTCATTGTTTACGCGTACAGTTGCCCTTTGCTGTAAGTATAAACTTTTAATTAGGCATAAATCTTTGTCGTCAATACTAGATTCTTTCAGTATGTGAAATAATTTTTTATGTTGCACCTTGTCAAATGCTTTTTCAGTCTATAAAGCATGCGTAGCCTTCGCAATTTACGTCTCAAGCTCTTTGTATCAATACTTGTATAGAAAATGGGGCCTCTCGCATTCCCAGTCCGCTTCTAAACCCAAACTGAACACTGTTAATGTTTTCTAGATATGCGAGGGTGAATAACAGAAAGAAGGATTTTGAGTGCATGGCTCATTAAGCTTACAGTTCTGTAATCAGAGTATCTGGTGGCATAGATTTTGTTCAGTAGACTCGTTAGAAGTTTGATGAGTTGGTTGCTTTCAAATATTTTTAATATTTCAGCTTGTATGTTATCAGGTCCAAGTGTTTTGTTGGTTTTACTCTTTTTATTGCGTATGTTACTTCACTGAGCGTTATTTCTGGTCCTGAACATCCTGTCTCTTGCTCTTCCTTGAATAATTCTTCCATGTATTACCTCCATATCTCAAGTAATGATTCATTTGCTTCTTTAATATTTTTCTTAATGATTTTGTTTATTTCTTTGTACCTTTCCTCATTCTTATTTTTGTTTTCTTCGTTCTTCCATTAAGCTCTTATATTTCTTATCTCATCCACGGCTCTTTCTTTATATTGTTTTCTGGTTTAAGTTTATTATCTACCACTGAATTACAGATATTTTTGATTATTTTGATAGTTCCTCGTCTCTTGTTGTTTTATCTTTCAACTTCTGGAAGTCATGACGTTTTTGTGCTTTTCTTTTATGGACTTTTTTCATGTGGAGTTTGAAACGTCTTAGTAAAAGATTTTGGTCTGATGGAACAACTGCTTCCGGATATGTTTTTGCGGATTTTACGATATTCTGAAATCGTTTGTTGATTATGTAGTCAATCTGGTTTCCAATCTTTTTTTTTTGGACAGTCAGCTGAAGATTTCGTGGTGGTAATTGGAAAAAGGTGTTCATTATTTCACTATCCGTTTCCTGGCAGAACTGAACAAGGCGGTCTCCTCCATTTTTCTGTAAGTTTCATTTTTTTCTTTTGTTGCATTTTTGCATTCATTGTCAAACCAATAATTTTTATATATATTTTATATTATGTAAACATATTCAAAAAACAAGAATACAACACAATTAAGTTCATATTACTCCTCGCCGGTTATTTGGTCAAAAATTCGTGAACTTATTGGTAGCAATGTACTAGCATATAATGTGATCATCCCTTGAAAAAAAAAGCTATTGGTGAGACTTTAGCTAAAGTTTATTAAGAAAATTCTGACCAAAATATAACTCCGGAATTTTTATTACTGCGTGGTTGATGTGGATTATGTTTCTAAATAAAAAAAAAGTTTATATTATATTCGAGTTGAAAATAAATTATATTACAGTTTTTATGGCACACGATTACAGCAGTCTTTATACAGGACTATTCAAAAATATATAAAAATATTGATGCTTTTTCGCCAGTTTTATTGGACAGGCAACACACATTACATGACAAATAACAAAATATTTTAGCTTTTATATTATTTACGATTAACATTCATAATAATTTCAGAATGTAGAAGACGCCTACGACTAGGTCCTTATGGGCCTATTACGTATAATAGGGGTGATACAATGGACCCGCCTTAGGAGATCTAAGTGTCTAAAGGGCTCATAAATGGGCCCTGTCCAGATCTACCATAACCATAACTTCTTTTGGCTTCATTCTGATTTTTCTCTGTATAATACTTTCAGTTTTATCCATGTCATCGTTAATATATATATTTGTTTTCCCTTAAAGTCTCTCAGTTTACCTCAGTTGTGGATTTACTTTACGGTAGAGAAATGGACAAATGTCACTAGGCACATACATTTATTACACAGCTAATAAGTATTGTCCGGATAACTAATTGTCCGGATTTAAAACTCAAAATATTACCAGTGTCTTCTATCCAGATGTTTAATTTACTGTATTCTGCATATACATACATATATTTCTCCGATATACAATCAAAGAATATAGACGCATACAATTTTATACAAACAGTGGCGCACCTAGAATTTTCCTCGGGGGGGGGGGGGGTTGCCTAGGCAGCGAAGTTTTTTTTATGATGCTACCTCCATTTTCAGTCCTTAAAATGTGTCGGAATAGGGTCCTGGGGAGGTTTTAACCCCCAAAACCACCCCTGGGTGTGCCACTGTATACAAAACCTTAGCTTCTCTAATATTTGATTTAATTCGTGCTAATAAAAACCCATATATTTTGTCCTACATTTGGCGAAGTGTTTTATATTCTACATATTTTTGTCATAGCTGAATAAATCAGTTTTAACATAAACGTAAACATTGGTATACCAATCTTCTCAGATTAGAAGAAAATTTAAAAGATCCTACAAATGTCTTAAATAGCCCGGATATGCTACCTACGATATAGGCAACACACATTACGCGACGCTATATCCCTTGTAAATCAAATGGCAAGAGCAAGTAACTCGAGTTTTATCGATTAAACAAACGCATTAATAACAAACAACCAATACCCTGGCAGTTTGTAAGCCAACAATGATACTTGTAGAAAATATCTAAACCACTAAATATCTCTCATGACTTGGAATGCCCACATTATTCAAAAATGGTTGCCGCCGGAGATATTGAACTATGAAGAACTGTTTACCTCTTGCAGAAATTTGGAAAGTACTTGTGGTTCGTTAACGTCTAGACTGGAAGTCTTGTTAAATAATTTGAAAAGTAAACATTCTTCGAAATTTAACCCGCTTCTTCACGACAACGATCTTCAGTTAACAGTAAGTAATTAAAATAGAAACGTAGCTGCCCAAAATAATTATTGTGTTTAATAGGCTCTACAATTTATAAGTTGGAGTCATACTGTTATGCTTTCTTTGTAAAAATTGTATTGCGTTACGTTTTTATATAGTATTCCCATTATTGACAGTTTTTATTCATACATTTTTTAATGCTATATTTTGATCTTTTCATTTATTTGGTTCTAAAAGAATGGTACCCTTTCATGATAAGTAATTAGTACTAAGTGTAAATTAATAGAACACAAAGTAATTTATCTAATAATTTATGCAATTATTCTTCCATTGCTTATTATACATTCCGTTTTAGTAATTATTATATAGTTTATTTCCTTCGACATTTTCAAAAGTTTATTTTGCCAATATTTTAGTCATAAGGTGGATCATATTTTAATTTCTCTTTTCGCAATCTAGAACTGCATAAATGAGTTTAATCTGCAACTTTTTTACTTACCGACCTTCTGAAGATTTTAAAAAATATCCTAGATATGCATGCTACAATATATGCAATCTACATTACACGTCAAACAAAAAATATTCATCTTTATCGTAAGTCATAGCCTGCACAAAATTTTAATTACTTACGGTTCTTTTCGGGATTTAGTGCTACATCTATCGTTTTTAAATATATTAAATATTCTGTATAAATCACCTACAATATAGACAATCTACATTAAAAACAAATAGTATATATATACGTCCTGACAGAATTTGTTATCTTTTTACCATTTAAGATCAATTTTATAATAATTTTAGGATGTAGAAGACCTAACATTAACGCTTGAATCTATAGAAATGTCTTACAAGAACATTCTTCCTAAATTAGCAACAAATCAGGTGCATTGTATAATAGCAAAGAAGTTCCAAATGTGGAAAGACATGCTATGGAAAGCGGAACTACAATTAATTTATTTTGTTCAAGAGATAATTAACGAAATTACTCACCTTTTTATTTATTATGGAGAGAGTCTATTAGTTCAAACTTTACGGTAATATTTTAATTCGAAATTTTATATTACGTGAATACAATTTTTGTTTTCTAGAATATCTGTATCGTACAACAGTCTATTGATATTGGACAAGAAATATCACATCTCCAACGATAACAGTATTTGTAAGAACACTTGTCCCTATCTTATATTTCCGATGAGGAGTATTTCAGTGACCAGATTGCTTCAAATTATCGCATATAAAAGAGCTGAATTATGCTGTCACAAACTCATCGACTGCTTGTTGGAAACATACAGATTATATGAAAATTCCGACGAAGATGACGAAGGATCAGATAATTCTAGCTTAGAAATATACATGTAAGATATAGATTTCATTTTAAGATTCAAATAATAAATGCAATGTAGTACGGGTTGCCTGCTTTTGGGTGTGTATGCTGTCAAAAATTATTGGAGTTATCTATTTTTTCAACCCAAAATTGGAGCAAAATTATTCATTTATATCGTAAAAATTTACCCCAATTTTCTACATTCACTATTTTATTAATAAAATATTTACTGTTTAAGGACTTTAACGAAACATATGTCTCCTCCTGACGTAGCTGAAAAGACAATCACCAAAGAAGCATCAGAAAACATCAATGATTCCAGTATTTTCGCCAGTTTGGAAGAATTGATCTATTACGAGGAAAAGAACGTTATAGACTTGTTAACAGTCACGCTGCAGGCAGCTCCTGAAATGCTAGGACATGACGGTGTTAGAAAATCGAAAAATTCAGGTAAAATAAAAGCGTCTTTGGAGGTAAACTTGTCTTGAGTCCAGAAGTTCTCGTTTTAATTGATTTTTTAATAACATATCGGTATATTAAATAATTAATTGCTGCTGTATTATTAACATATTTTTCCAGGAGTGACAAAAATTAGTCCAAAGGCTAGGGAAAAAGTACTGGAATACTACGAACAAATCTTATGGGGAGAGGTTGGTAATTTTCTGGAACACGTCGTACTCTGGTGGTCAGCATCACCTTTATCAGCAAGACCGCCTCACTCGAGTCAGCATTTAAGGGAATGGATCGTACAATTTATTCCGACAGGTACTGTTTTCTTCCATTATTTCGACTTTATTTTATTTATAACATTTCAGCTGACGTATCCCCTGTAGTGCTTTCGGCTTTGGCCAGTCTCGCAGACGCGCTAGGTGTTCATGTAGCTTCAACGTCTTGGGATCAGAATTTCCGGTTGGCTCTGGTTTCTTCCAAGGCGATTTACAATCCAGAAACTGGAAAACTTTACGCCAACGTCTTACAGGATCTAGTTGTGTTGTGCAACCAATGCGAAACCACTCCCGACTGGTTTGTTGGAGCTCCTTTAGACGAACTACCGTTGGTTGAACAAATTCCGGTATTGCATCGATTAGGTGAGTCCAGCAGGACAAAGAAGTCTTCAGCAATATCAATCATCTCAATTCTGTTGCAGATCATTCTATACATACCACCAGGTTGTGGTCTATCAACGAATGTAAAAAGCTGGTGAACGCTTGGAATGTCAGTGCATTTTTCACCGTCATTCATGATAATATTGTTGACTGCTTCAGTCAACTCAACAATTTGCGACTTGCTGATCACGCCGGCGAGATTGAGAAGAAAAATTTGGGTGTGCAGGTTGAGGTGTGTGCTCTCATGAGAGCCAAATTAGTGTCAGAAGTCAAGGTTAATTTTGACAAGTTGAAGGTATGTTAAATAAATTATCATTTGTCATCAATTTGCATTCAACACTTATGGATTATTTAAAGACAAGAGAAAGAACACAGAAATTATGTTATTACACTGAAAACTAGTGGAGAAAGAAAGAGCTTTAAACAACATGAGATTAAATTATATACTTTCGCTTGGCTATATTTTTCTTAGTTCTGAGATAGTGTGTTTAATATACAACCAAAATATACTTCAAGTGTATTATAAGTTGCCTAATATTTGGTGTCATAAAATGCATGGAGGTTATTTTTTTGTATTACGAGTTGTCTACTTTTTGGAGTCAAAATAGTAGTATAAATTTTAAATAAATATGCGATGCCTACGATAATTATTATTAGACAAGTTGAATAGAGTGGTCTATACCCTGTTTTTTAACCAGGAGGAGTAAACCAAAAAGACAGATTCACACCCAAGAAAGTTACTAGAAAAGTCACCAAATCTTCTTTTTTTGTTGTATATCTCGGCTTTGCGGTAATCGAGTAATCAATATCGGACAACCTTACACGCAGAGATATGTAAGAGAGACTCTCTTACATATCTCTGCTTACACGTCAAATCTAACCTAACTTTATGTTTTAATAATATTTTTTTAATTCACTTCCAATATACTTCATCTAATTTAGATAACGACTTACGTCATTATCTACGTCAGAGATCGAAGTTAACATAGTTGCCAAAGTATAAAAAAATCCTGACTCCATTTTAAATCAAATAGGTCACATAATTATTGCAAAAGTATTACCATCTCTTTACAACGACTATTTAAATTCTTACGTGACATTTTTGAAATAAAACACACTAATTTTGTTCTAAAAAGAACAGATTTTATTAAATAGGTAAACATAAAAAACAAGAGGTATTCACTTTAAAATTCAAAATAATAAAGTACAAAACGTGTCAACACCGCAACTGTCAAATAAGTGTTACCAATTTATGCCAAAATTTTACCTTCGTTCGATTACAGTTACAGTGTGTTCCGAACAAATGTTCTTGATAAAAACTCTTTATAATGGTTTATACATTTCGGAAAATAAAATTTTCCGAAAATAAAATTTTCCGCAAATCGCCAGGAAATTTTGACATTTCTGTCAAAATTTCTTGAAGAAAAAGTCAGGACTTCCTTACTGTAAGGAAATGTCATTTCCTTACTGTAAGGAAATGATATTTAAGTACAGTTGTTAGTGTTCTACATAAATGATAGAAGTTTGACAATTCAACCTCAATACGTTTCCATAGTAACCCAAGTAATTTTATTAGGAATTTCAAAGCACCATTTATTTGGAAATAAAATTATCGCGTTTTTTTTTAATCAATCAATATCTGTCGAATTTTAAACGATTTGCGGAAAAATAGTATGTTTACCTCGTAGGAAAAGCCACATTCCTGGACTCTGTGTTGCCAAGTCTCGGCTTGCGCCTCGACTTAGCAATCTTCACAGTCGTTCAGGAATGTTAAGCTTTTCCTACCCGGTAAACAATGTACTATTACTAAAAAATACTGGATTTCAGTGACATAATCAACTAATTCAATCTATTATGTTACATTCTAGTATAATTTTGTAGTTTTCTTGTGATGATCTACAACAGGAAGAACAAAACCAACTGTATCAATACAATCAAAGTAAAACACAACATTACTAATGTTCTTTTATTGTGATGAAAACAAAATGAAAATGCTTCTTAACAAGTATACACAAATTTAAAAGATAGTTGCCGTTTTTCTTATGATAATTAGATATAAATATCATACATTTATAAATTTATAAACACTGTAAACTCTATTTATTATATATATATATATCAGCTAGAAAAATATCACATTAAATACTATTATCGCATATCACCAAGTCCAAATGAACAACTACACCATTTTGAATTTCTTGATTTATTTTTTCAGCAAAAATGAATCTATTTCAGATATTTGAGCAAGAAAGTTTTGTTTTTGGTCAGCAGCCCAATGTATAAACTATTCTTTGAATAATTTCCCCTAAAAAATAACTATGGTAAGACATTCATAATATACACAATAAATCAATCATCCTATAAAGTAAGATAAACAATCTATAGTTATGCTATGTAATATTTGCTGCATTGAATCTACATATGTAAAGTAAAAATATCCTTTTTTTTCTTTTCTTCTCTTTGCATGTTCTTATATCTGTTGAACCAAAATACTTGACAACATTCCAGTAGAGTATACAAATAAAAACTTTTAATATTTAATAGTAACAATAATATACCTGATTATAAAAATGAAATCTATCAAATGTTTTAGTTAATTTTACTATATAATTGTAGCTTACCCATATTTACATACCAATATTTGTACTTACTTCAAATTGATTTGCTTCAAGAATTTATATAATAATGAACGACACATATTTTGGAAGATCTGAGCGGTTGTCAATTTCACTTAAAATTTTACCTAAAGTGAGCATTTCATTCTTGACAAAGAAGCTGTGTACTATCTGTCGTATAGATGTTTTAATTCTTTCATCCTATGTTGCAAGAATATAAGGTCGACCTTCAATATTTTTAGGACATTTTACTGCTCCAGTCTGCTTATTATTCCTTAATTGTTCTAAATTCTATTCTTGTAAATAGTTGAATTCGCAATACCTAAAATTAGCACATTACTTTAGTAAGTCTTGATTTTAATAATAACTATTCTGTAAAACTAACCTGCTGCCTGTTTTATTTTTACTACCGTGGCTGTTATTTTTATTCCAGAATTATCAATTTTCATGTTTCTACATGTTTTATAGTACATTATTTCTCATTTGATGATAAATGATCCAAATCTACTCGGCGTTTTTAAGGTGGAGAAGAATAATTACCACTAGTACTTGGCATTGAATCCATATTGTTATCTTAATAACACTAATATGTCGCTAAATAGTTCTGAAAAGAACTGTTTTTTATATAAATGCAAACGAAAAATCTAAAGATGTAAGAAATAACACAGAAAATACAGAAAATTGTCGATAAAAATTTTGAATTTTAAAATTTCACAAATGTCATTAGTGTCAATATGTCATAATTTAGTGGAGTAAACTTGCCTGCGCTTCGACCAATTACAAACAAGCATTATGGCGCGGAAAATTTGAATTACTCCTCCTGGTTTAAAAACAGACCATAGAAGCAAAGCCAGGAATCTTCGCTTCGACAATTTTTTTCAGGAAAGAAAACTTTTTAATTATATAATTTTAATAAAGATATATATGGCAGCAAGATCTCAATTTGGTAAAAATATGGAGATTGCTGGTTTTGCTTTTATACCCCTCATATACAAAATTAAATATTTTAAATTTTTATTAAAATTATTTTAAATGTATAAAGGCAATTGGTGTAACACATAATTGATGTAGTAGTACTAGAAAGTCCTCTAAAATAGAAACACTTAGAAAAAATTCATATAAAAAGAACAAAACACGATTTTGATGTGTGATGAAATCTGTGTACTGACATATTTAGTAACGCCACCGATCCAATATTTATTTCTAAATTTCAGGAAGCTCCAAAAGAATGCGTTGATGGTTTAGCAAGCGTTTGTCGGACAATATGTCTTGCCAACTTACAAATGATCTTTCCTCCCAGTTCATATTGGAAAAAAACAAACTCTGAGATCATTTCCGAAACACCGAGTGACTTCGTAGCAAAGTATTTAGGTAATTAAAATTATTTTCTATTTTTGGACAAACTCTGAGTATTCTCAGCATTATTTAGCATGTATGGATTAGCTAGTTCTTCCTCTTTTTAGATCGTATTTTGGTACCTGTGCTAGAAGCTACTAATGATCACCAAATCGCCAACATGATACTGACCTTAATTTGCGAGTCTTGGCTCGATCATATTTATCTAAACAAAATCAAGTTTAGTCACTGTGGGGCTTACCAGCTGCTCTGCGATTTCGGCTACATTTTAGTGTGGTTATCAGAGTACCAAACAATCACGGCAACGATGAGGAAAAAGTTGATGAAAAATGAGGTGTTGAAGAGATGCGAGGGAGTGGGGCGGTTATTGCTGAGGAGACCAGGCGAGAGGATTAAAATGGCGGATAAAAACAAAAGACCTCCTCCACCTAAAGGTAAGTTTAATCAACACTATTCTAATGTAAGTTACAGCATATCTTTCAATTCAACGAACAATTTAAATGGGAAGCGACAACAGTACTCGGACCCAGCATCCGAATCTGCCATTTAAATATAGAAGGTATTAGTAGAAGTAAATGTGAGTTCCTTCAAAATTTACTCATTGAAAATAATATCGACATGGTCGCAATTCAGGAAACCCATGTAAAAAACGAAGAACAAATTCTCTCGAAGAAAACTATACCCAGAGGATATCGTACAGAGTATGTCCCAGGATGGGATGAAAAATGTGAGAAATTGTATCAAGAATACAACGAAAGTCAAGACCGAGAAATTGCGGACGAATTACTGCACCGTTTGGATGCAGCCAGATGACAAAAATGGATGGAAACTGTGGAAAAATTAGACTTTAGTAAATCAAGCAGAAAAGCATGGTCTTAACTTAAAAAAAAATGGTCTTAGCAGACTCCCAACTAGACACAAAGTACCACTAGCTCCCAGCAGAGTGGCCTCCCACATTGTAGCAACCTCAAGAGCACCTAGAGATCGTGACCACACCATCAAAGTAAAATAAGAACTAAAAATATTAAAATCTGTATGCCCGCCTAAGTCTGAATACTCTGACGAGTTTACTCCAGAAGAAATTATTTCAGCAATATTAGAAATGAAGTCTGGAAAGACACCCGACTCCTATAAAATCCATCCATAATTTTTACTCCACCGTGGCAAATATGCTACGAAATGTTTGGCTGATTTCTATACAGATGTGTTAAAATCAGGAGAAATCCCCGTTCACTAAAAAAAGCCTCTATATTAAACCCACTGGGTTCTGGGACAGCTCTAATAACATGGATATTACAGAAACAATACTAACGGATGACCTTGCATTAATTATTGGAGAATACTTTTGCAAATGGAAACCAAAGTGTGCTGTTTCCATCTGATTAAGGCCCGAGCCAACAAAAAACTCTCCGTTCACTTGCTTGAAACTCTGCAAACAGACTTCTCACTCATAACTCAACACCAAAATATCTTGGAGTGGCCCTGGACAGAACATTAAGTTTTAAAGAACACCTACAAAGAACGGCAGCAAAACTAAAAACGCGAAATAATATAGTCCAAAAGCTATTTGGCAGGACCTCAGCCTCCTTACTGAGGTCATCCGCACTCAGACTTGTATACTCGGCGACTGAATATACTTCCTTGGTATGGCTCAATAGCAAACACACAAAGATTATTGAAACCTAACTAAACCAGATAATGCGAATGATCCCAGGTACAATTAGACCCACACCGAACCCATTCTGAGTCAGATTCCACCGCCGAAACTGCGAAGAAGTCGAGAAAAATCGAGGCTAACAATTAACTACCTATCCACCATGATAAGCTTGATATCGAAATAAACAGACTGCGCTCAAGATATCCTCCATTGCTAAGAGCCAACTCCTGACATCAGGAACATTTTAACCTCACCAAGGCTTGGAGAAGACAATGGGAGAGCGACTCACCACAGGAAGCACACCAAATGGCCTGTATCGATAGGAAACCGCTAGGCTTTGAACTAACCCGCAATACATGGACAACGCTAAACAGAATAAGAACAAGCAGCGGTAGACGTGCTGGCAGCTTATATAGATGGGGTAAAGCCCTTACTCCTGAGTGTGACTGTGTTGAAGAATGTCCCGAAAATGTTTTACATAGTAATAATACATTAGATGTTCGTTTGTAATACTCCATGTAACGTTTATATTCATTTTTAATTATGTGTTCTTATTGTATGCCATCCAGGAAGAAGAACATCTTGGTTAAAGAACCTCAGAATCTGGTTCAATACAACATCTATGCAGCTTTTTCGCGCTGATGCACATAAGATAAAGATTGGCATGATGATCGCCAACATCCGTAACGAATATGCACATCAAGAAGAATTTTATGCCATACGAAAAATAAAAGCATCTTATTTTTTTTGGAGCAACCACAAAGAAATTACTCAAATTTCTACATACATCCTTTTTCGTTCAGTGTTTTTTATATAGATTTTATCGATTTAACATATATCTTCTATTATGTTAAAGTCTTTAAGTAATGTATAAGAATCTGTTTTAAACAACAATTTTATTTTTAAGACATTGAAGATTCCCAAGAAGAGGAAGAAAAGGGAGAGCTCATGCCAGCAGAAATGTACGTGCCCAATCAAGAACAATGGCTCGAGTTGAGAGCTCTTAAAAAGAAGACGACTTTCCCAATTCCGATTTGCTGTGGACAACCATAGGGAAGTCTAACAGTTAAACCCTGTCGTTTTTGAGTGGCAATAGAGGCATTTTTATTATGGAAAACGTAATTTTACTCTTTTGGCTATATGAAAATACGAGGATAAGGAAAAAAGTTCCTGGGTCTATGGATATAATACCCATTGAAATTCCAATGTATTATACCATTGAATATTATTTATGATTTAGTCGAAACACATGAATCACTATCAGGTTCAGATATTTCATGTTCTAATAGTTTTTCTAATCTTTTGTGTAAACGTGTGATTCGGTTTTTAATTTTGAGTGTTTAAAAAGCATGAGTGTCAACAAGCATTTTAATGAGTGATGTTAAATCCGGTGTATATTCCTTAACAATATTATAAACGTCTTTAGCTCCGTATGTCTCATTTAGTAAATCCCGAAATTGATCGTAGTTTAAGACATACGATTTTGAATGTTTATTGATAAATCTTTTAGCAGCTTCTTCGGTTTCTGTTGTTACTTTAGTTGTTATGTCAATTTGATTTTGTAATTTCTGGCCCATTCGTGTCTATTGTTCTTGGGGTGGGTCTTAAATGGGTGGTATTGTTTTTATTAGGTACAGAATTGAAGGGTTCGGTGCAAAAACTAGTCAACTTCATTTTTTTATCATTTGTGGAAAATTAATAAAAACTTTCTATTGTTATTTGTAGGAATTTTTTGTCAAAAAAAACCCAATAAGTATTGGTATTGGCAAATAATTTAATACCAAACTGATAACAAAATATTGTTTGAGACTTCGTCAAAAAAAATAAAGTCCACCGAACCTCCAAAAAATACACAAATAAAACAACATTATTGCGTTAAGCATATCATAAAATAAAAACATAACTTTATTTTTTAACTCAAAGTAAGTCTAAAATCAAGAAAAATAAAAGAGACCACTGGAAAAATAACAAATAATGTGATAAAAATTTAAAAAACAACTTTTCAGCAAAGTAAACTGATCATCATCATCATCATCATCATTAGCCATTTTGCGTCCACTGCTGAACATAGGCCTCCCGTAAATAATTCCATTGCATCCGATCTTGAGCAACTTGAATCCAGTTAGACTGGATGCGCTTTAAATCGTCCGACCACCTTGTTGGAGGACGTCGTCGACTACGATAAGCATCGTGTCTAGGCCTCCACTCTAAAATTTTCTTTGTTCATCTTCCATCTCTGACCCTAGCAACATGTCCTGCCCAGTTCCATTTCAGGGTTGTAATTCTTTCAACTGCGTCCGTCACACCAGTTTTTCTCCTTACTATCTGACTCGAAACTCTGTCCCTGAGTGATACGCACAACATTAACTTCTCCATCGCTCTCTGTGCCACTTGTATCTTATTAATTACTTTTCTGGTAAGTGTTAATGTTTCTGCTCCATATGTCAGAACTGGAAGTACACACTGATCAAAAACTTTTCTCTTCAAGAACATGGGAATAGCTGATTTAAAGACTTCCCTCAGTTTTCCGTAAGCTGCCCATGCCAGTCCTATTCTCCTTTTTAACTCTGTTGTTTGATTGTCTCTTCCCAATTTAATCTCGTGGCCCAGATACTTATACGAATACACTTGTTCAATTTGCGTGCCATTAGTGGAAATGTTTTTTGCCAGTACCAGGTTGGTCATGTATTGTGTTTTGGAAAAATTAATTTTAAGGCCAACTCGTGCACAAGAGCTCTGAAGGTCTTGAAGAAGTTGGCATGCATGATCTACCTGATCTGCAATAAGGACTATGTCGTCTGCAAACCTCAAGTTGTTCAAAAATTCCCCATTTATATTTAATCCAATATTTTCCCAATTATTTTTTCTCATAGCACTCTGTAATAGGGCGGTGAATAGTTTAGGAGAGATAGTGTCTCCTTGCCTAATACCTTTCTCCAAGGGAAATGTGTCTGTGTCACCATAGTACATTTTTACTTTAAAAAAATGTACTAAAGTAAACTGATATATAAAACAATATACAACTAGAAATCTTCAGTTTCAACTTCGCCACTGTCATTTTTGGATAGCCAATAACATTTTCTATTTTTTTGGGTTTATTTTAAGCGGAAATGTTTTGTACAGTTTGGCAGTGAGCTCATCGTACATATAAAAAGTAGCCTCTCTTTTCTTTGCAAAATGTACACAAAAGTTGTATTGCCATAACTGCCTTTTATAGAATACGTCGCCTGAAGGAATATGTGGCAGTGGCATGTTTTGTTGATAATCAAAGCTTAAGACATCAACTAATTTATCTTCGCGAGCAAGATTGGTATATTCCCTTAATTTGGTATAAAATATTTCATCCTCATCATTATCATCACGTAGCGCTACAACCCTGGGTGGGTCTTTGCTGTCTGTACAACTTTTTTCCAATTTTTCGGTCTTCCATCAACCTAGGGTCAAATAGAAGGTTTATTTTCCTAAGATCTGAGTGGATGTTATCTCTCTATCGCATTCTGGGACGTCCAAGTGGTCTTTTGCCTGTGGGAATCTCCTCCCATACCAGTTTTACAAATCTCTCGTTATGCAGTCTGTGCTCATGGCCTACCCATCTTAGTCGCTGTGATTTAATTTCTTGGACAATATCGGCGTCGTTGTAGAGTGCTTTTAATTCGATATTGGTTCAGATCTTATACTGGTTTGTGGTGACGTCATGGTAAGGTCCGAAAAATTTTCCAAGTATTTTTCGTTCAAAGCGTCTGAGCTTTTCTTCGTTTGCTTTGGTCATGGTCCACGTTTCGCATAAAATATTTCAGCCTTCAGTAAGTGTAGACGCTTTTCAGTTTCCAATCGGGTTTTAGTTTCTGCATTGACTTCTGCAGCAATTGTGTTGTTTAAGCGGTTACATTTCTGGCAAGTATCTGATCTGGGATGACCAAAACTAAAATTATGATGGAGATTCAATTGCCGGTGATAAAAATCATATGTTACTAGTGGCTTAATGTCCTTTAAATTTTTCCCGTCTTCTAGGAAAACATACTTTTTTGGCTCATATTTTTCGAGGTACAGGCGATGAATTTTTGCAACATTCAACTCAGGAGATAAAAAATAGCTTTTCTGATTATCTTCCCTACTATAATGAGATTTTCTTCTGGGAAAACTCCGTATATGTTCCTCAATTTGCGCTATTATTGCTTCACTGATTTTGTTTGGTCTATTGGAGTGCTTTTTCTCTCCACTCTCATGTAATCTGGCGTTTCCTTAGCACCTTTGACACGCTGATTAATCGCCTTAGATAAATGTATTGTTTAGGATTATCTCTCGTTTTATAAAACTGCTCAAGTATGTTCTGTTTGTGGGTATCGTCTACTTTAGTAAAACATCTATTTCTACAATGGCAATTTGGTCCAGTAGTTTTCTTTTGAATTAGTTTTTTTGCCGAATTAATATATTCTTCTCCTCTAGCCTATTTACTTTTCATAACGTTTCGTTTCCAGTTTCTTTCCATCCTTATCCTGTTTTAAGGAAAAGTACTTGGGCTAGATTTAATTAACTTAAGTGCTCGATAATAGCCTTATTTTTCAAAGTTCATTTATTCGAGCATTCAACCTCATTTTAATTAAATAAATAAATGTTCAGTTCAACAAAATTGATTTTTTCACCACTAGGTTCAGAACTTTTCACTTTGTCCTCGTATATGATAATTTTGTGATATTTCGTAGAAACATGTAGTATAATATTTAAAAATAATACTTTGTCTATAACTTGAATATAAGTAACTGTTTCCTCTCCTGTGTTTCCTTATAGTTATTTTTAGAAGACTCCCATAATATCCTCACCGACTAAGATGGACAATGTAACATTAAAATAATTTTTATAGATTTGGTATATTTTTTATTTAATATGAAATTTTTTAAAGATCAAAAGGTAAATCAATGATCATACATTTGGTATTTCAAGGTAAAAATTGCTATAGAATGTACAAATAATAAATAAATCATATATACACAATGTAAATCAATTAGTGTAACAATAAAGATAAAAGAGAAAATTAGTACAGTATAGCAAATATATTCGGTGGAAAAGTAATTCAAAAATGTAATTAAAGTATCTCACAATTAATATATGTAGTTACGAGTAAATCCTTACGACGAGAAAATATAAAAAAATTAAATAATTATTCATCGTATACGTGGGACGCTCAGAAAGTAGACTACAAGAATTACTTTGCGATTTTTAAAAAATGTTCTATTCATAACTTTTGGATATCCCTCGTAGTACAAATCTCGAGCATACGTGGGGGAAATTTAAAGTTCCTATTGAATAACATGATCCAAGGACAATGTATTCCAAACATTAAGGTGCAAAACCATATGAAATGTATTCAAATATAACCGATGATATAAAAAAATTAGAAAGAACAACTTATAGAGTGACAAAAAAATAATTGAACAAAAGGTGAGTTAAGACAACAGGTACTACGACGAAGCGATTAATTACCGTATACGTCGGGACTCTAAGAAGTAAAGAATACAATAGTCACTTTGCAATTTTTAACAATTATTGTCTACAGTACTTTTCCAAATCCCTCGTAGCATAGATATGGAACATATGCGGGAAACGCTAAAAGTTCAAATTCGACAACACGTTCCGGAGAATAATAAATAAAAATGTAGAAAGAGCGACTTTATAGGATAACAAAAGATCAATTGACGAAATAATAAGTTACAACAAAAGCAAAAAAAAACAAAATAAAAAATAATTGAACCAAATAATCACCAGATACAAGGAACGCTAAGAAATTAAGTATACAAAAGATGTTTTTCGATCTAACAACTTTTGTATTCACAACTTTTGTATATTCCTCGTAGTACAGATCTAGAAGATACGTGGGAGACACCAAAAGTTCATAGCCAATAATATGTTCCGGAGAATCTATATATGAAAACTAACGGACAAAAGACAGAAACCACATGGAATGCATTCAAATATAGCCCATAATCAACAAAATCTTTAAGGAATATATTTATAGATTGACAAATTGTCAATTAATGAAATGGTAAGGTAAAACAAGAGCAAAAAAATAAAATATAAAATTGAACCAATTAATCATCAGATAGAGAAAGGCTCAAAAGTTATATTTACAACTTTTGTAATCTCTTGTTCATCGAGGTTACGAGGGAGGTATTAAAAGTTCATATTCAATTATAACTCAAAATAAAAAGACAAAATCTATGGAATCTGTCCAAATATAACCCAAAATAAAAAAGAACGACTTTATATAATGAAAAACAACAAATTGATGATATAAAAGTCGAACCAAGAGATACAAGTACAAGAAGCAAGTGAAAAAAAATTGTGGAAGAATAAGTGAAAATAAAAAACATAGAAAGGGATGGTTTCAAGAAATTTTATTCATTTCTGCATACTTCAGAGCATAGGTGCAAAATGTCGCTTGTCAAAATGCTCAATGTGTTTTAAATGTATTAATTTTTTTCGAATCATGAGAACACTAATAAGTATATTTTACCAATTTAAACGCAGAATTAAAGATTACGTTATTACCGAGGGCAGAAAGTTCCTGAAAACTTCTATGATGTGTATTTTAATAAGATACAGGGGTGAAAATAAAAGAAAATCTAGTGTGACTTTTAATTTCAAATATTTCATTCAAAACAATTTTTTTGGTTATTTTAAAGGACTTTCGGCCCTCGGTAATAATGAAATCTTTCATTCTGCGTTTAAATTTTTTAAAAATACTTATTAGTTTTCTCCGGAGTCGAAAAAGATGAATACATTTAAAACATATTGAATATTTTAACAGGCGGCCCTTAATGGAAAGACAGCTGGCAATCAATCGACACCTAAAAAGAGAAACATAAATCGACCCCCCTATCGGTAGATATAAGAAACAAATAATTTAGTGTATTTCACATAGAAATCTGCGATACGTTTCGTTCTTTTGTTCTTTATTTGATTACACTCTTCAATTTTATTGTAAATATTGTCGCACTAGCTTTTTTCCAACCTCTGCACAAACCGCCTCGGTAACCCCATATCGATCAAATCATCAGTTTTAAGTCTACTTATATCGGGAGTATAATGTAAAACCGCCTCCCAGCAAATTTCGCTCAGCTTGGGAATACACAGCCATGTCGAATAGACGGCGTTACTGCGCCGAACGTCGTCGTTAACGCTATAGTTGCCGCCGAACACGTACAGTCTGCCTTCGGGCGTGACGGCAGTGGCGTGGAAGTAGGTGGGCCGCGGCAGTCTGCACAAATCGAAGAACGTCCATTGGAAGGTCTGCACGTCCAACCGCCACAGGTCGTCGAATATGTTCTCGCCGTCGTGGCCGCCGGTAATGAAGATCTGTACGACGCCTTTGCAGGCTATTTGCACGGCGCCGTGGCACCGCCTCGGATCCGGAAAACCTAAAAGATATTCATTCCTTAAATGAAAATTTACGAAAAGGAAAATTCGAAACGCAGCAAAGTGATAATAAGGTGACAAAAAGTAACAATTAGGCCTTTTCATCACAAAATAGTGTCAGCCATTTTTTTCGTACAGTTTTTTGTAAACAAACATGTTAGCTTAGATTAGTAATATAAATAACAATACAGTGCAACTCAACATAGAATGAAGACTATTTTTGATAGACAACATAGAATTAAGACAGATAAAACGTAATAGCAGCGCCACGTTTCCTACTGGCAAAACTCCTTCCTACCCGTGATTTCTCAGCGACAAAATTATGACAGATCCGTCACGAAGTTGTCTGGTTATTCTATTGTTGCCAGTTTGACAAAAGTCATTGAGGCATAATCAATTTTGGCCAGATATAATGAATCCAGACGAAAAATCTAGATTTGGATGCCAGTCAGGTGAAGAAATCAAAAAATTGGTTTCGGAAAATATCCCATGAACAGGCAGAGGTCCAGAAGCTCTATTTGGACCCAAGTTTCGGAGTTTCTATAGGTGAGAAATTTTATTAAATGATAGTGATCGATAATAATAATTGTGTTAATTAAAATATTTCGGCAAGTAATGAAAATCAATAAACATAATTAATTAGAACAAAAAATTACAATACAGTGGAACCTGCTTAATTCAAACTTCTCTAATTCCAAATCTTCTTTAATTCGAATTTTTATTCTGGTCTCTAGCATTTTCTATATAAGTAATGGTAAAAAGTCGTTAATAATTCGAATTTATTTTGGATAATTCGAACTTCTCTACAAGCTAAAATGCCAATTTCATGCTGGAAATTTCTGCGAAAAGAGATAGCTGGCACCTAAATTCTCCTGCACTTAGCATGCCCCTTCAGTAAATTTCGAAGATACAAAACTTTGACGTTATTGGAAAAATAGCAGCAAATAAAGAAGTATAAAATGGAACGAGGAAAAAATCTGAGACTACTAAGGACTTTGGAATTCCTCCTAACACATGATAATTCACACCTACTTCTTCAAGTAGAGGGATATACCTAATTGAAGAATAAAAAAAACCGAAATGAGTGCGGTAAAGAATGATAAAGGTTAAGAAGATAGAAAATCCAAATGTGTTTTAAAATGGTTCGAACATGATAAGGATAAGGAGATTCCTGTGGGTGGTCGCCTTATAAGAAGCAAAGCTGAACAATATGTTGTTGAAATGGGGAAAACAACTTTAAATCGAGTACAGAGTGGCTAGACAGCTTCAAAGAACACAACAAAATTTTATTCAAATCCATTTGTGGAGAAAGTGAGGTTGTTAATGAACAAGAAGCCAACAAATGGAAAAAAACTGGAGGAGATGATTCAGGATGTTGATGAAAGAGATATCTTCAATTTTGACGAGACAGGTCTTTTTTTAATGCACTCCTGTCAAAACACTGGCATTTAAAAATGAAAAATGTCACGGAGGAAAACTAAGCAAAAAAAAAGTCACTAATTGGTGCAAACATGGACGGATCAGAAGTGGTACCTCTACTGATGATTGGTAAGTCGGCTAATCCGTGTTGTTTTAAGAATGTCAAGTCAAAACCATTGGAACATGTGAGCAGCGCAAGAGCTTGGATGGCTACGGATTTTTTCGAGAAATGGCTGATGAAATTAAACAAAAAGTTCATAAAAGTTCAGAAGAGAAAAGTTAGTTTTTTTATTGACAACTCTACGGCCTAGAACACTATCCCATTAATGGAAACTGTAAAAGTTATTGGTTTCCTGCTAACATGATTTCAGTTCTTCAGCCTTTGGACCAGGGCATTTTTCAAGCCTCTCGAATGTGTAAGAAAGCTAGGAGACAAGTAACACACCCGAAACGATCAAATACTGTTTCAAAAAAGCTGGTTTCGTAAAAAAGGAGGAGAACGCAGAAAACTCTAACGACACTTTAACAGAAGAGCTGCTTTCAGTTGACGGCTGGCAGGACGTCATTTCTGATCCTGCCATCTCTTATGAAGATTTTGTCAACGTGGATGAATATGTTGCAGTGCAGCCGAAGCAACGAACCATATTACACAACTTAGACGGTACTTTGAAAGTAAAAATGATGTAAGTGACTCTATTTTTAGTTCACCTTAGAATTCATTGCCATTGTCATATGCTGAATTCTAAAAAGCAGCTAAAAATTTAGGATTTCTTTGGAAAAAGTTAAACTCTTTAACAGTTAAAAACTGTCTTTTTTGTTAATTGTAACAAATGTTCTTATTTTCAATAAATTTTTTGGGACAAAATGATTTTTTTTGTTTTAATGACACGTTCTCACTGTGCGGTTTTTATCGACCAAGATTGGCCGAAAATAACAATGAGAACACCTGCCATAATTACAATAATTGACCATTTTTATAACTTGTAAATGTTTTAATTGGTTTTCTTGGCCGAATTTTGTTAGCTCATTTTTTTTCGATTTACAAAATTCGGGTAAGAATAGGAACGAAAACATCTGCAAAAGTGTTGAATTTTATCGTTTGCAGATGCTTTTGTAAGTATCATTGCTTTTTGTAGATTTTTGGATAACTCGAATTTTTGGATAATTCGAATTTTTTTAGCAGTCCCCTGAGATTCGAATTATCCAAGTTTCACTGTATTTGTATAGTAAATAAGTAGCGATGCCTAACCTCTCAATTGTTGATCAAAACTGTACGAAAAACATGGCGACTGCGCATGCGCTCGTCCCTATTGCACAAAACGGAAAGTAATGACAACTAAGAATCATGGTACAGTATTAATGAAGATATTTATGATAAAAATAATGTAACTCACCTCGGTGTTTATCTCTTAGAGTTTTTTGTCTAAACCATTCGTTTTTTTCTACATCAAAAGTGGGAATGTGCTGGAAACCATACGCTTCCTCGGTGGTACCGCCGCCTAATATGTAAATATTTCTACCGTCGAAACCCACTTCGTGTCTATATCTTCCCTTTGGTTCGTATTCTCCTAAACCGTTACATAAATACACTATTTCCCAGTTCATGGTCTTAATATTTAACCTGAAAATTGTAAATAAGTTTAAAATAATCGGATACGTATGACAATGATTGAAAGAAAGGATAAAAAACTAATTTTTTTTTATAAGAGAGTGTAACGATGTGGCCGTCAACGCTTGCCAATAGCAGGTCCTTTATTTGTATGCCCGAACTCCCAGCAACAACCTACCACTAGCATCGATGTGCGCTAGAGATGGAATACCGTCAAAAAGTATAAAATGTCGTGAATAACGACAGAGATTCAAGTTCAATCCCTATATGTGGTCATCATAATCATCATCAATTAGCCTATATTTGTCCACTGCTGAACGTAGGCCTCCCGTAAAATTTTCCACCTATCTTGAGGTCCTAGCATCCAGTTTGTGGTGATGCGCTTGATATCATCCGTCCATCTAATCGATGGTCGTCTTCTGCTTCGATATACATCTTGCCTTGGTCGCCATTCCAGAATCTTTTTGGTCCATCTGTCATCCGTTAATCTGGCAACATGTCCGGCCCAAGCCCATTTAGCCCTGGCTATTCTTTCAACTGGATCTGTGACTCCTGTTCTTCTTCTTATTTCTAGGTTTGGTACTTTATCTCTGATGGTAATACCTAATATTGATCTTTCCATAGCGCGTTGTGTAACTCTTATTTTATCTATTGTTGTTTTTGTCAGAGTCAGTGTTTCTGCACCATATGTAAGAACCGGTAAAACGCACTGGTTAAAAACCTATCTTTTTAAACAAACTGGGATACTAGACTTGAAAATGATATTCAATCTACCAAAGGCAGCCCATGTGAGACCTAACCTTCTTTGTATTTCAGTTGTCTGATTATCCCGGCCTAGGCAAATCTCATGACCTAGATATTTGTAAGCTATTACTTGGTCGATGTTATGGCTCTCAATCAGAATTTTACCGCTGACTAGAAGGTTGGTCATAAATTTTGTTTTTGAGGTGTTAATTTTAAGAACAATTGTTTTTGACACTTTCTAGAGCGTGTGCAGCATTTATGTTGCTTTATCAACTCTATCAGATATTACTGGATGTGGTAAGAACTTCTAACTCTAAGTCTCTAAATACTGATCATAGGCCTCCGTTCTTTCTCGTAACTGCGATCGAGTATTGATCGGCCACTCCCACGGTCTTTGGGTATTGACTGAAGATCGTTCTTTGTCTTACCCATCCGAACGCCGCTAATATTTATTTTCATTTCACCGGCATCAACGTAGGGCCGCTGCCTGGCGATTTTGTTTACAAGGATTCGTCTTTTTATTTTTATTTTATTTAGCTGAATATATTTTTAGATCAATCAGATACAGGCGTGTTGATCTATTATACTCTAATAATTTCTCAGTAATTTACTTTATAACAAATATTGCATCTGTACACGATCTTCCACTACGAAATCTCTGTTATTCATCTGCTAAACTTATCCTCTGATTTATTAGCACTTGTAAAATTTTAGTTGTAAGTTTTAGCGTAGTATTTAACAAGTTTATACCTCTGTAGTTTTCTGGCTGCTTTTTATCCCCTTTTTTGAATAGTATTTCAATAATTCGTTTGGTATCACGTCTTTACCTGCTGCTTTTCGTTTCTAATTGATCTGTAATTCCGTATCATGTAATTAATCAATATCGTAAATTCCGTGAAATTTCTAGGTATTCTCATTGACAGTGATCTCAAATGGTCCTTGCATACTGACTCCTTAAGGAAGAAACTAGCCTCAGCTTGCTTTGAAATAAGATCTGTTTCGAAGGAACTAAATTTATCTTCTGTCAAAATGGCATATTTCTCATTGTTCGAGTCCCATCTTCGATATGGGCTTCCATTTTGGGGTTCTAGTACAGCGGCCCAATTTGATACTATTTTTAAGTTGCAAAAAAGAGCAATCCGTTATCTATTTGGTCTCAAACAAACAACTCATTGCAAGACCTACTTCAAAAATCACGGAATTTTGACGCTTCCCTCTTTATTTATTTTGGAAACGGTTTGTTTGATTCGAAAGCAACTAAACATTTTTCCCGATAGACCTGACCATGGCTACTCCATTAGAAATTCGGATTGTAACGTTTATTTGCCGATCCCGTTCACTCAGCTAGTAAAGAATTCTATTCTATATCGTGCAAAGAAACTTTATAATCACCTTCCAAGACAAATTAAATCCTCAACATCCTTCATTAAGTTTCGTAAGGTGACAAAAATCTATCTCTCAGAAAGACCATATTATTCAGTTGACGAGTTTCTTAATGTATAACAAAGAAACAAAATTAGTATTGTTTATAATTACATTTGGGTGTCTCAAGCAGTGGCTACAATTTGTCTCATTTGTTGTTGTCTACAAATTATGTAGGTTATACAATAATTTTACTAATTTAAAATTGTGTTATTCTGTTTTTTACTATATTTGTTTTTGTTTTATACTTTTTGTACTATTTGACTGATTTATTTTTTAGCTTTGTCCATAAAATTGTTCAATAATTTTCAGTGACAATAAAGCATATTTCTATTTCTAATTATGGTATGCCCCTTGTGTTTTGGTTGACATATATTTCAGGTAAGCTTTTTTTTTCTTTACATTTTTCCTTCACTTCTCTACAAAATCATGGAGTTCTTCGCCTTGGGAACGATTTATTTTTATTTATATTTCTTTAACCAAGAACTTCCTTGACCAAGGCTAAGACATTAGAGTTAATTTTTGCTCAGCTTTCTTCGACTCCATCACTTTCTGTGATACATGTGTTTCGGCTTTTTTCGGTTATTTTTTTTTGAATAGATATCTTGTGGAGTCATCCTGTAAGCTTTCGACTTTTATGTTTTTGGTGTATTCTGGTGTTTTGTTATCACATGCATGTGTTTTCATTCGGATTTTGCACAATACCAATTTATAATCGCTTCCTATTTCTGCTGACGACGGTAGTAACTTAGTTAAATTAGAAATTGCAAAAGTTGTGGTATTTGTGCTAGGGATCGAACCCGAGCCCTCCAATTTAGCAAAACAGTTCCATAGTCACTGAGCTAGCGGCCACCACTTGGTAGTTTTATTAGTAAAAATCCAATTGATCCAAAACTGATTAATGATTTAATCTGTTAAGTATTGACTTAATTCAGACCCGTTAATCCTGCTTTTCAATAATAAAAGATTATTATTTCTATAACAACCGAATGTTCATTTGAAACACAATAAACAAAAACGTAATGACATATGCAGCAAAATATTACATTTGTTGAAAAATTACCTGTGAATATCACATGTGTATGACAACCCCGTCGTACCTCCAATTGTGTAGAGATAATCGTTGTGGAAGATAAGGGCTTGTCCATATAAGGGTAGGGGCAGTTGTCCAGTGGTCTGCACTTCCGCCATCGGACCATTCTCATCGTTTACTTTACATACATACAACTGATTGCTACACCGAATTCCAAAAGGGGATCCAGTGCCACCGTACACCTAAAATAACAAAAAAAATTACTAATAGTACAATTTTCGACTACTAACAATGATAATTTTTATGTCAATTGGAAATTGCAATACTTTCTAAGAAACTTAGGTGCTTCTTTTTACATAAATCTTGTAAACCTCACGTGCGCGTGAGTGGTATTTCATTCCTGTTCTCTCCCGTCCACAGTACTTAATTTTTACTGACGTTAATCCCGCTCATATAAAATGAATAAATTAAGTTTACTTAATCCAAATTTCATCCACGCTTACACTCCATCGCTCACGTTCACGCTCGATAACGTTACTCACGTTCTCAACGTGTCAGGTCATGAACCATCGTCGTCAATCTCGTTATTTCACTTATCGCGCCCAACACTAGTAGATGCTCACATTATTGGCGTATTAAAATTGTATTACAAATATTTTAGACAAGAAAATTTGAAATAATTTTGAAACTATCAATATTCGCTCCGTGCGTGACCATGGTAGGGGTACATTGAAACGATGCCAGCGTGCGTAGCGGCGAAATATGACAAAATTGGAATATTGGACAAAATATTTTTACACATAAATTTTATTAAAAATGCGTGCAAATACATGTTGCGTATTTAATTGTGCTAATAATAGCAATAATGGTGAGTGCAGTTTTCATAGGTTTCCAAAGATTACATATAAATTAGAGAAAAGAAAAAGATGAATTCGTGCTATTAATATGAAAAAGTAAATATCACATCATTTCATTTTTATGCAATTGAAATAGGAAAAATTTAAATAATTTACCTTGAATGATATTTCATAAGGCTTCGAGCTAACTGCAGATGACTTTAGCTTTTATATCATAACTTTTACTATTATTGTTTTTAATTATGTGCTCTTTTGTGTGAAAAACTTGATTTGCCAGTACTAGATTTTTTCCTTTCTTTTCCGTTTGGAGTTTCTTCTTCTTCTAGTTCCATGACCGTTATCGATCGTTGGATATCATGTTGGCTACCATATTCGCTATCGTGACTTTATTGACAGCAGCTCTAAATAACGATGTAGTTGATTTTCCATACCATTGCCTTAGATTTTTCAGCCATGATGTTCTTCTTCTACCAGGACCACGATTACCTTGGATCTTTCCCTGAATGATCAGATGTAAAAGATCATATTTTTCAGGGTGTCTCATAATATGACCGAAGTATTCCAGCTTGCGTTTCTTTATTATATTGACCAGTTGTGTTGTTTGGTTCAGCCGTCTAAGGACCTCCTCATTTCTAACTCTGTCGACCCAGTTTATTTTCAGTAGTCGTCTGTATACCCACATCTCAAAGGCTGTCAAGCGTTTAAGCATAGCCTCAGTTAGGGTCCACGCTTCTACTCCATACAGTAGGACAGGAAAGATGTAGCAAGATATCATTCGAACTCTAAGGTCAATGCTAAGATCATGACTGCAAAGTACGTTTCTCATTTTTACAAAGGCAGCTCGGGCTTGTTCTATTCGGCTTTTAATTTCTGCGGTTGGATCCCAGCTCTCATTGATATTACTGCCGAGATACACGAGTTTCTCTACTCTGTCCAGTGTGGCATCTCCGACTTTTATACCGTCATGATGTATATAATTTTGTTTGCTAACTATCATATATTTAGTTTTCTTAACGTTGAGTTTTAGTCCATACTGATCACAAGTCTGCTTTATTTTGTTCATTAGATTTTGAAGGTCTTCTCCGCAATTGGCAAGGACTAAGGTATCGTCGGCATATCTAATATTGTTGACGGTTACTCCATTCACAATAATACCTTCGGTTGTCTCCATCAAGGCTTCCTTAAATATTTCCTCCGAATATAAGTTAAAAAGTAAAGGCGACAATATACAGCCTTGTCTCACTCCTCTTTTTATATTTATTTCATCCGACAGTTCTTGTTTAACCTTTATTCTTGCCACTTGATGCCAGTATAGATTTGTAATTATTCGTAGATCTTTATCGTCCAATCCAGCTGTTTCCAATATTTCTAGCATTTTGTTATGTCGGACTTTGTCAAAAGCTTTTTCAAAATCGATTGCACAAATATACACATTTTGATTTATATCTCTGCATCTCTGTACTAGCACCTGTATACTAAACAAGGCTTCTCTTGTACCCAAGCCACTCCTAAACCCAAATTGAGTATTGCTAATTCTGTCCTCTAACAGCGTATAAATTCTGCTGTGTATTACTCGCAGAAAGATTTTCAAAACGTGACTCATCAGACTTATTGTCCGATAATCACCGCATGTCTTTGGACGATGTTTCTTAGGTATTGTGACAAATGTCGACTTTAACCAATCAGTTGGTAATATCCCAGTGTCATAAATTCTGTTAAAGAGATTACACAGAGCTTTAATTCCATTTTCTCCCAAAAACTTTAGTATTTCAGCACTTACTTCATCGGGGCCAAGTGCTTTTCCATTTTTTGCCGTTTGTATTGAACGTCTTACCTCACTTTCTGTTATAGATGGACCTGATATAGCAATGTTATAGCACTGACCTGATATAGCAAGTTTGGAGTTGAAAAGGTATATTATGATGAATTTTGAGAAACCCAGTTTTTAATACTACATTTATTTTGTACATAAACTTTAAAATATAGTTAAACAACTAATTTATTAATAATTGTCAATTTCGCATGTATTTAACAATGTCAAACATATGTCATATATTTAACCTGAAAATTGGGATTCCCAAATTGTCAGATGAAGGCGGTAGGTGTCGCGTCAGTCACGCACAGAGCGAATAGAAGTAGAAGTACGACAAGGTGACACAGCCAGTATACAACACTTTTAACATAGCAGTGAAAGGACCGATTAAAAAGAACTGCTCTCCTAAAAGAAGATAAAAAGCTCTACACAAATTTTAACAACTTGTTAGGTTCGTCTCTGGAACTGAAACTCGATTGATAATAATTCATCATTATTCATCAAGAAAGACACAACTATTTCTCTTTGCACTTTAATACGATTCTAACGCATTTACATTATGGTGACATCATCTGCAACCTCTTGATAAATCAGTCTATGGACCTTTTAAAAAATTTTATTTTGCTTCAGTTGATGGTTGGATGAAGAACAATCCAGGTAAAACAGTGACCATGTACTATATCCTTGGCATCGTGAATCTACGAATCTAATAAATCCTACGAATATTATTTCTGGATTTCAAGCTCAGTTACAGATGACTTTTTAAAACAGCGCTTCGAAGCTACCCAGGATGATTTAGCAACGTAAAGAATATACAGTCACAAGAGCACCAATCTACGTCTTCTACGAGTAAGAATGTTTCTATACACCTGTCCATGGTGAGTCCTCAACAAATTCGTCCTTATCCAAAAGCTGGAGAGAGGAATAATGTTAAAAAAGGGAAGAAACCTTTGAAATCTGTGGTTCTTACAAGCACTCCAGTAAAGGAAGGGCTAGAGAAAAAAGCTGAAGAAAAAAAGCTAAAAAATGCTGCAATAGAAAAAGCAAAAAAAAAGGTTAAATAAAATGATCAAGATTAAATCTGAGTTTGGGGAAGATGAATCCTTGTGTCTCATATGTTGGGAGCATTACTCGAAATACAAACCTGGTCATGCATATACAAATATATAAATACAGTGTATTTCATGTAAAAAAAATGGCCAACAAAAGGTGCACTTGTATTCGTTGTACCTCTGACTTTGAAATTAGTGATTAAGACTAAGTTTCCGAGCCAAAAATCTAAAAAATAAAATAATTTACTTTAATATTCTAATGAGTGATTAATTTCTATCTTAATATCCATTTTATTAACATTTATTTATTTGTTTCAACCTACCTCCAGCTAATATCAACTTGCCCCCATGCGGGGAATATTATGAGGAGAATATGTGGGGAATGCAGTTTGTACTCTTATACAAAAATGTCAATTTTGTAAAAACTATCACTTCAATCAAAAAGTTAATATCTTTGAAAAATTTGCAACCTATGAAAATATTATTGTAATAATTGGCGAACCGATTATAATATTCGCGGGAACCCTACTGTCACCATCCAAATAAATGCCGCTGTCCTCATTGTCTAAAGAGACGCCTGTCTCAAATCCTTGGGTGCGTCTACAATTCTTAGGGGATACTTATCCCTGCGAGCGGAGGCAAGGCTTACTGGTCACACTAGTCTGAACTGGCTGGTTCGCCCTCGGGGTTCAGGAGGGTAGGGAGATCTGGAAAAAAAGGGTTAAGGACTTCTAGGTCTCAGGTCCTGTAAAGAGTTGAGTCTATGGGCTTACTTTAGAAGCCGGAGAAATGCATAAGCGGAAATTGTGTACTCTTCTAGTCTCTGCCTGTAACGGCCGGGAAGGAACAATAAAACCAAATTTCGAGTCTACAATGTGTTAAATAGACTGCACACTACAATTAAGTTAACAAGCTGTCATATAACAATGATTCGTTCAGGCGCGAAGGGAGACCTTAGCAAGAAATTAAAAGGTGGACAATCTACGTTTTTATATATTCCTTGGGTTAGTATATAGATTTAGTTATCTTCGTGTATTTAGGCCCTAGCTAATGAATACGCCCTTCAGTCCTACTGGAATTCAGGATCAGTTTGTTGAGGTACCGCGCGCTATCACGACTTTTCGAAACACCAGATACCGGCACCTCTACGGTACTATCCCCGTCGACTTACAATAGCGCGCTCACTGGACTGAGTAATGCCCGATCGCCCGTGCTTCTGGCGTGGAGCCCTCTCGGCTGTCCTGCTCTTACTGACTTGAGCGCTTACTGGACGCTACCGCCTCCGAGCACTCACGGGTGCCGGCAACTACCGGGTACAGTCGCGCCGAATACTACCGGTGTCTAGTGCTTGCTGGAGATTACTCATTGCCCGGTTGACCAATTTTTTCGTTTTTATGTCCCGCGAACATTCCAGTTTTTTTGCTGATTCTGCTGTCTGTTCCACGTGTTAGAATGGATCATGCGCTGGTGTGTCGCTTCGTTGTATTATTTTCCACGAAGGTCTTCACATTTCGTAATTC